GGCACTTATATTCTCAAGAAATAAGATAATAACAGATTGTAACAAAAGAACCAAATAGGGAGATGGGATCCAGACTACTAGGGGACTTACTTTAGATTGAGTGGCCTCAGAAGAGAAGACATTCAAGTTGAAAGGTTCTATTTTTGAATGAATCAAAGGGGACATCACATTTAACCTTCAAATTTCCATTTAAGGGCGTTTGGTGTACTTACAATTACAAGTCTTCCCCTCATAATAGTCCCACTGGACAACAGTCAAGACTCTGCAGAGAGTGTTTGCCTCCCAAAATACATCTACTCTGCATTATAGAATTTCTGCCCCTTTCACTTGAGAAATGGTCCATGAATTTTTGGCATACCTCCTTGTGAGGGCAATCATGCACCTAGGTGATGTGAAACTTGGTTTGCCATCTTGGCAATTATTGACTTCTTTGTATAAAATGTTGATTATGTGAATTCAGGGCAACCTTTTAATCTATGCATATACAAAGACACACACAGAATTTGGGCTCTGTTCACTAAAAGTAGCAATGTATTTATTATAATATGATTAATGGAGCAAGTCAAAGGAATTGAGGAAGTGGACTTAAGGACTATTAGGTCTCCTGATTAAAGCAAGTTATTTCTTCCTTTCCTTGATTTTTCCTTTGACCTGAGACTGAATGAACTGAATATTTGTACTTAGAAAGTACTTCAACTGTCTCCACCCATTTAACATGTATTAAAAAGAACTGATACTAAAATAGAAATGGGTAGCATAAATCCAAAGCAGTATAATTTTTCAGGGTAGAGAAAGTTTTTAAAACAAATTGTAAAATTATAAATGCCTATCAAATTTCTTTTGCTAAATATTTAACAGATGGAAATAAATATAAGCACACTTATAGTTATGCAAATAACCATAAATATATGTTCATATATGTACATAGGTACTATGATTGACAAAGCATTTGTGTTAGCATAGTTATTTGCCCTTGATGGCTAACAGCCACAAACTTTTAATTCTTACCATAGGAAAAACAATTTTAAAACTCATTAATTATGCCTAAAATTTACATTTTTATTTTTATTCCAAGCCCTGATTACAGTCTATTAATAATTGTTAATGCGCTTGCATTTTTAAGTATTTCTGGATTTCACAAGCTTTGTTTTCAGAGGGCAAAGCTCAGTCAACACTTTGATTTACTAGCGGACTAGTCAAGGGAAAAGGCTTTATTAAATAAAGAAACTGTCTTTGAAGAAATAGTTGAAGTTCAATAAATGTATTTAATGCCTGCTGAGGACCTTTTTTCTTTTTCTTTTTAATTTAATTTGTGCTTTTATCAAAGTAAAATAGAGCGTTGTTAAAAAATCAAAACCACTACAAAGCTTATAAAGCAAAAAAGCAGTTCATTACACCACCACTCCTCAATCCTGCATCATTTAATGTCTTAATTCTTTTCTTCTCAAATTATATCTGTTTCTGAATAGTTCATATATGATGTTTTAAATTTTTTTTCAATTAGGAATTATTGATGGATTTTAAAATAAAGACAGATTTGTTTCTTCCTTTTTATTCTCTATACCTTTCCTCTCTTACTCCTGGCTCATTTCATTGGTTAGGACTTCCTGTATGAAGTTAAAAGGATTTCTTATTCTGATCTCAGGAGTAAAGTGTTCATTCTTTTACCATGAAGTATGATGTTAATTGTGGGCTTTGTAGATTCCCTTTAAAGGATTGCAGAGGCTCCCCTCAATTTCCATTTTCCTAAGTTGTGTTTGTGTGATTATTATAAATTAAGAATGGATATTGAATTTTCTCAAGTTATTTTTTCCGTATCTATTGAGACAAACATGTGGTTTTTCTGTTCTAGTCTGTCGAAGTGGTGAATTCCACTGATTAATTTTCAAGTATTAAACTAACCATTGGGTTATGATGAATGATGCCTTTTAAGTTTTCTGGATTTCAGTTATTAATTTTCTGCAAGGAAAAATAAATTCCAGTGTTGGGGATTGAACCTAGGGGGGCCTTGTGCACTGAGCTACAATCTGATCTGTCCTGTTCTATCCTATCCTATTCTGTCCTGAGACAGGCCTCTGTGAATTATCCAGGCTGGCCTTGAACTTGTGATCCTCCTACCTCAGTCCCTTCCATTGCTGGGATTCCAGGCATGCACCACTATGCTCTACTTTGAAATAATTTTTTATGCCCATGTTTATACAATATTCATCGTTAGCTTTCTTTTCATATAATAACTTTGCCAGGTTTAGGACTCCAGGTTTTGTTGGCCTTGTAAATGCTATTTAGGAATATTCTTATCTCCTCTAATTTTTGAAGGAGTTTGAGTAACACTGATATCATTGCCTTTTTAAACTATTGATTGAATTCACCAGTGAAACCATTTGAGTTGAGAGCTTTTCTATGGGGAATTACTTAATTATAAATTTGATTTCTGTAATAAGAATCAGATTACTTAGTGATTTCATTTCCTCTATTGTACATTTTGGTAAGTTGTAGTTTTCAAGAAATTTATTTCCATTGAATTATTGAATCCTATGTCAGTATAACTTTCTTTCTTAGATCCCTGCAACCCTATAAACACAGGAACTGCAATGATTCCTCCCCCCCCCCCTCTTTCTGTCCCAGGGATTGAACCCAGAGATGCTTAACCATTGAACCATAGCCCCAGCCCTTTTTAAATATTTGATTTAGAGACAGGGTCTCACTAAGTCCTTAGGGCCTTGATAAGTTGCTGAGGCTGTTTTTAAACTTATGATCCTCCTGACTCAGCTTCCTGAGCAGCAAGTCGCTGAGATTACAGGTGTGCCCCACTGTGCCCACCTTCCTTTTTCTATTCTTGATGCTGATAATTTATATTCTCTCTCTCTCTCTCTTTTTTTCCTTTAATAGTCCGAGGGCTTATCAGTTACATTAATTTTAAAAAGTTATTTCACTGCTAGTATTTTTCTATTGCTTATCCATTTTTCCTCTCATTGATTTCTGTTTTCAATATTTTGTCTCTTCTCACTTTGGGTTTAATTTCTTCTTATTCTAGTTTCTTAAGGTGGAGACACAGTACACTGAATTTATTTTTTTTAATATAAGCATTTCAAACTATGAATTTCACTATAAACTCTGCTTTAGATTCATCTGTGGGATTGTGATTTTACTAGATTACAAAGTACTTTCTAATTTCCTCTTTGACCCACAGATAATATAGAAGTTTGTTGTTTTGTTTCCAGATAATTGGAGATTTTTCTAAACATGTGTTTTAGTTAGTTTTTCTTTGCTGTGACCAGAAGACCCAACAAGAACAAGGTAGAGAATGAAAATTTATTTTGGCTTATGGTTTCAGAGGTTCAGTCCAGGGTCAGCTGACTCCATTGCTTTGAGCCCAAAGAGAGGTAGAAAGAACATCATGGCAGAAAGGTGTGGTGGAGGGAAGCAGCTCGGGATATGGCAAACAGGAAGGAGGTGGGGGAGAGGGAGAGACAGGCTCTGCTCACCAAGGACAAAAATATAAACCCCAAAGGCACACCGCTAGTGACCTACTTCTCCAACCACACCCTATCTGCCTACAGTTACTGCCCAGTTAATCCATATCAGGGGATTAATCCACTGATTAGAATACACGTTTCATAACCTCATTGTTTCACCTCTGCAAATTCTTACATTGTCTCATGCATGTGCTTTTGGGGACACCTCATACCTAAAACCATGACGACCTATTTCATTATTGATTTCTAATTGAATTCTACTGTTTGTAGAGAACATACTTGTATGGCTTGAGTCTTTTACAATCATTGAAATTTGTTGCAGGACTCCAAACATGGTCTGTCTTGATAAAAGTTACTTGTGTATCTGAACATAGAAGCTATTTGTGTATTCAACTGTTGGGTGGAAGGTTTTGTATATGCCAGTTGCAGGTCAAGTTGGTTGATTCTGTTTTCACTTCTAATTGTTCTATCTAATTGTTCTGTCTAATTGTTCTATCCCTTTTTGAGAAACAAATTTTGGAATCTCTGACTCTGATTGTAGACTTGTCTATCCTTCCACGTAGTTGTGTTGGGTTTTGCTCATGTGTATGGAAGCTATGCTACTGAGCACATGAACATTTAGGAATGCTATACCCTCTTGATGAATTCACCCCTCAGTCATTATAAAATAAGTTTCTGTATTCCTGGGTAAAAATATCTCTGCTCTGAAATATGTTTCATCTGATATTAATATAACCCCTCTGATTTTCTTAAGATTTGTGTTAGCATGATATCATTTTTCTCCTTTTACTTATAGCCTATGTGAGTCTCTCTATACTTAAAATGGGTTTTCTATTCCCCATCCATAGCCATCACCAGCTACTGCCTTGCCTTTGGGGGAAGGCTTGCATGCCTCAGAGGCAGATTCTCCCAGTCCCCCAATCTTGCCTGCACCTGAGGATCCTCAGGCTTCTAATCCATTTGGCAGCTCACTTGTGACCATTAATTTTAAAAATTCAGTTTTCGCCTCCTGTCTATAGCATTATGATGCTCTACCTGGAATGAACGCAGGTAGGTGTCCTCACTCCTAGGAAAAGACTGTTACCTTCTGGATACAGTTCACCCAGGTTTCTTTGTATCTTCAGCTCTTTAAGATGTTCAATAAAACTATGATTTTGTAGCTTATTCAACTTGTTTCATAATTAGGTTGATGCAACAGTCTCTTAACAACTTTCTACATCTCAACCAGAAATAAAAGCTTGAATTTTTTTACAGAAGACAGAAACCCATTCCCTTATTTCCTGTTGTCCTTGTGATCCTCACTGCTCCTAACTTACATATAGAGGAATATAAGATCATTTTAAATGAATTAATATTAATGTGTACATCATTTTAACTCTATAACTATTGCTCATTACTGTCTCTTCTGGATTTAATGACTAGTGATAGGAATGTAGAAAATGAAGAAAACCCAAAGCAAGAAATCCAAATTCTCAGAAGAGCTTATAAACCTCTTTATCAGAATTACCAAAACTTACTGAATTTTATTTTCTCCAGACTCAAAAACATTGTGAGCCCGGTTGGTTGCCTGTCCCTTTCAAGCCCTCTGTGCTGTTCTCTTCTGTAGCCGTGTCTCTGGGCCCAAGGTACAGCTGATAGCCTGTTCTTGGGTTGACTTCTTCCCACACTGAATCTTTTGCTGCTTTAATTCTTTTTTTGTTTTGTTTTCTTGGTTCATTCTTTTGTTTTGATTTAGCATATTCACCGTAGCTTCCTGAGAAAGAATGAGAGGGAGGTAGAAATTTTAAATCCCTGCATATTTGAAAAATATTGTTGGTTGATAGCTTAGCTGATGACAGGATTCTAATTTAAAAATTATTATCCTTTCAAATTTTGAAGGAATTTTTTTCTATGCTGTCTAGTATTGTTGGAAATATGACTGTGGAAAAGCCCCCATTCTGTGCCAGGATGTGCTCTTCTTTTTTTCCCTCTCTTGAATCTTTTAGGATCCTCTCTGACTGCAAATTTGTGAAGTTTAAGTGAAAAAATCTGGTGAGCCTTTTTCATAAGCAATTTTAGTTTAATAATACATATCCTTCAGTTTGGGGATTTTTTTAAAAATCATTTTCTTCATTCTATTCCTCTTTTGTTTTCTTCTGTTCTCCCTTCTCTAACATGACTCTGGTTGCTGGACCACCTGGAATCTGTCTGAGTCCCATTTACATCTCCTGGTCATTGTGATTTGCTTCCTGGGAGACTTCATTAACTATCTTCCAAACCTTCTCTTTCTCTTTGTCTCTTTTCAACTCTGCTGTGTTGTTTTTAATATAAAAGGAATTGATCCTTTTAATGGTATTTTCTTGTTCAGTGGATCTGGTACCTTTTTTGTTTCTCCTAGTTACATCAGAACATTTTTAACAACATTTTTACTCCATTTCTTTTAGCTTTTTAAAATTGCCTCTATTTGTTCTCAATTCTCCATTTCCAGACAAATATTTGATATTTCTCTTTCCTCAGATGTCTTATTTATTCCTAGCTGTTCATTCAAAATTAGAATAAGGTATAAAACACTCTATTATACATACAGTTGTAAATCTGATTATGTATGTTTAGTAATATATTTTCCTATTCGCTGAAAACTATAAAAAGCAGAAAGACATCAAAGATCTAAATAAATGGAGAGACACATAATGCTTTTGAACTAGAAGACACAACATAGTAAAGATGTTACTCTACACCAGGTTCTGACCCCCTTCTTCCCACCATACACACCTGGTCTCTCACATGGAGTTTGTTTCCAGGTCCTTGCTGACCTCTCACCCTAACAAGAGTACCCAGTCTTGGGTCTGGGCTAGATGGTCTGGGTGCTGCCATTGCTGTGCCCCTTAGCTTGTTTGGCTTCCTGCCATGAACTCCCACTGGAACCATCTCACTGAAACTCCTGGCTTGGCTTGCCGCAGTTCCCCGCTCTTACAGGTAAGTCCTGGAATCAATCCTAGGCCTCTTCTCCCCAGACAGGACCTGAACAAAGGGCCTTAAAAACAAACAAACAAACAAACAAAAAGATGGGCCTTAAAAATATCGACTCTTTTTTCTCCTGTATGCCAGCATGTCCTTCTGATTCTGCTGATTTTTTCAGTTGCACATGGTCCACATGGCATAGGGTGAAGAGGCCTATGAGTTTTGCTGGCCACTTTCTATGATCACAACCAGCCTTGCTTCCTCCCTTCACTCTGAAGGCCTCGATTCCCCAATTGTACAGGATCAGACACGTCAGCACTCTCTCTAACCCAGTTGTCTAAGAACTTTTTGGAAATACTATTCTACCAGCAAAGGCATCCCACGAGATGAACTACTACACTCACCTACACAATATAATGATATTAAAATGAAAATTTAAAAATGACAAGGTAGAAAGCAAAAATCCCAAACAGACAGACAAAAATCCTAAAACACCCAAGTAGATCATTCAGTGTGTCCATTCTTGGAGGGCACAGCTCTAACCTGATAAACCCAAGGGTCAAGCTTCATGGATCTCTTTACAGACTCACACGCATAGTGGGGATATTGACCTTTATTTACTTCAAGGAAAAATTTTATGGTAAAAAGATCCCTACTCCCACCTTCAGGATATGTGAGTTTTACTCTTCAGTTGTCAAATCACCATCTGGATCAGATATTTTTTAGGGAACACTTCCATATATAATACTTATCATGCGTGTACACATCTATGAATGCAGACTTAAAGTTTGTGGGCAAAGAAAAACGGTACCTTGGGAAAACTGTGGAATTTTAAAGTTCAAATACAAATAACCTTTTTCAAGAGGAACTTAGGAAACAAAGTGATTTGCACGGGATTTTAAAAGCAAGGCAGACCCTTTGATTATGCAGGCTCTTTTACAGACAGTAATATTGATTAGGGAGTGGGTGGGGACATGGAAAGAGAAACTAAGGAAGGTTCTATTCCCAGACAGCTAAATTATATCAACTTTCAGCTAACAGTAACCCCTTAAGACATTGTGAGGCAATGTCAGGCTTTTGTATATCTGGATTTCATAGATATATTCCAGGAACTCCTTACACAAAAACAGGGACCTCCTTTGGCATAATTCTTAAAAGTCCTTGCTAATTTGATGAGCAGCCACTATATCCTGTTTTCACTTGAACTTCTTTTTATTAGCTGTTTGTAGAATATTTTATGTAGTGTAAGTTCCTCCTTTATGAGTTGTCCTGTCACGTTCTTTGCTCTATTGTCTATTGGAACCTTGAAATTTTTGTCTTGTCAATTTTTAGTGATTGAGGTTTATATAATGAGGATACAAAGATGTGTATGCATGCGTGCATGTACGTGTGTGTTTTGTTAACCAACTGACATGAGTTCCCAGTTAAATAGCTATTCTATTTTAGTTTGAGGAGGGAAAAGAATCAAACCAAGATAAGCATTGAAACTCGGCTTCCTTTCCAGCAAAAAAGGGAAAGCAGGAATTGCAAAGCTGCTGAACAAGAGCAATTTTCATTCTCTCTTGGTTTGAATGAGATTTTTTTTCCCCCTCATGAAATAGGAACTTCTTTTCTGTTTATCCACAGTTGTTATCAGCAATAATAATGAACTTCTATTGAGGAGCAACTGTGTATTAGAAGCCAAAGCACTTCAACAGGGAACAATAAGACCAACATTGCAGTTCAGTATAGACAAGACCCTCAATTCCGTCTAGAAATACATTTTCAATCATTTTGATGAAAAGGGTGACAGCATCAGCAGAGTGTTCAGAGATCCAGCGTGACATGGCCTGCGAGCTCCATTGTCTTTAGATGATTAAACCAGGCGGGTTCTGAATTAGACTCCTGCATTATGGTTCCACCAGGGTGGAAATGGGCACAAAGCAAGCTCTTGTTCAAGCACAGCTGGCACCTCCGAAAGCAAAATTCTAGAAAGTCTCCTCTTTGCTTTTGCTGGATCTACTAGATCACATAAGCTCTAAAAGGTAGCAGAAAAGAACCTCCTCAGTCAGGGAGTTGAGAGGCAGGAGGAAGGAAAAAAGTAAGCTGAAACTCAGGCAGGAAAGCTGGCGGGGTTGGGGGACAGGGTCTTGGAGGGAAAGCCAAAGACTTTGTGACTGGACCCAGAGCAGACAAGAAAGAATGGTGACTTCGGTGCATACTACCCTGGGGTGCAGAATGTGAGCACTGAGGGACTGGGGTTCATCTCAACCCCCTCATTTTTCAGTTGAGGAAACAGCCCTGGAGAGGAGAAGTGATCTGCTTAAAATCACATACAGCCTGTGGGAGAGAAGGGACATGAACCCAAGTCCCCTGATAACACCACACTCACTGCCTCTCAAATATCATATTATTTTTGTTCAGCCATTTCCTTTTCACATTCTTTCTGTGGTTTGAAATGAAAATGTCAAGTTTCAGAGCCAGCGAGGCCAGCTAGGATGGTAGAGGGGTCACGATGCATATTGACTGATGAAGGCCTCATCCTGGGCTTCAGATTAGTCTTCAAAACCCGAGATCCAGACCTGCTTCAGCTCAGCATGCCACCATCTTGGGGAAATTACCTGCCATTTTCAAGTCTCAAGTTTCTTTTTCTGTAAAGTGGGGATTGATAATAATAGTACTTACCTCAGAGGGCTATTTTGAGGGGTAAGTTTTACACCTGATCCTCTGGCTCAACACTGTCTCCATGCTATTAGCTAACAGTTTCAGGAAAGGAAAGCAGGGCCTAAAGAAGATGAAGTAATTTTGCCCAAAGTAACTCAGTCTTTGAAGCATAGCCAATACTTTCAGACCAGAGTCTCTGGATGCTAAGACAGTGCCCCACATTATCTCCTCCTAGTCATGATGCCTCAAGTTTCAGCAGCTCAGTGAATGACACTCAACATTTAATATTCATGAATTATTTTTTTAAAATAATAGCCCATGTATACAGGAAAAAACTATAACCTAGTATCTGTGGTAAAATACTACAGGGTCTCAGCTGTAGTGAACTCTTTTAGGTCCAAAAGAGGATCAAAAAAAATCTTATTGACAAAAAGACATTGAAAGCTGGAAGAAGGTATTTGTAAAAGAAGATGTAGATATATAAGGATTGAACTCTGGGGCTGGGGTTGTGGCTCAGTGGTAGAGTCCTCGCCTAGCATGCACAAGGCACCACATAAATATAAAATAAAGATATTGTATCCACCAAAAGCTTAAGAATAAATAATAATAATAATAATAATAATAATAATAATAATAATAATAAAAAGGATTGAAATCTGTCTCCTGAGCTGTGTAGTCTAGACATTCCACCTCTCGGATCCTGTTTATTTTTTTATTTTTATTTATTTTTTTTTTAATTTTTTTTAAGAGAGAGAGAATTTTTTAATATTTATTTTTTAGTTTTCGGCAGACACAATATTTTTCTTTATATGTGGTGCTGAGGATCGAACCCGGGCCGCACGCATGCTAGGCGAGCGCGCTACCGCTTGAGCCACATCCCCAGCCCTCGGATCCTGTTTAATTGCTTGCATAGTGATGGGTTAGTACCAATATCTGAGATCTCACCAGGCTTAAAATACATTAAATCAAACCTGGGATCAGTACTATGAAGATGATAGGTGCATGCATTAATACTCTGTAATATTATTGAGAAGGCTATCTTGATTCCAGATTGAATTTAGAGAAAACCTTATTAGGCAACTACTAGGATAGGAAAGAATCTCCTAAAGTCACTGCATAGGGAATGCCATAGCAACCATGGCCAGCTCTGTCAACTGACATTATATCTACAAAATTGGGTGGATTTGCTGCTCCAACCAAGTTGCTTTCTTTGCAACTGGCATATCCTTAATGAGTTCCTCCTTAAATCTGTATTCAGAAGCAGCTATTTCCAGAAAGAAATCAACATTGTTGTTACTATTGCAATATTTACTTGTAGTTAAGATAGACTCTAGACATTTAAAGGGAAGAGTGCCCCCTAGTGGAAGTATAATCCAATCAGGCAACCAGACCCACCATTAAAAACCATAGGATATAAGATTCCTTTTGGGCAAATCTTTCCCAAAACCAGCTTTGGCAAAAACCATTTATGCTCCAATCAATTAATCAATCAATCACATATTAGGTTTAAGCATCTACCAAGAAAGTAGGCTTTATTTTGAATAACAAAAAGATAGAAACTAAATACATAATTGGGGGTTAGAATGAAGAGAAGGCAGAGTAAGAAAAGGATTAAGAAGATTTGGCTCAGGCATGGAAGAGAAGATAGTGGAGGACAAGACACAAACAAAAGAAGAATGCCATGAAAATTCGTGATTCCTGTGAGTTTTGTTTCCCTTCGTTTTATTTCACTTTTTTCTTAAAATGCTTCAGATGAGGGCAACATCTTATTTTAGAATAATTCTCTCACCAAAGATCATGTTTTAAATGGTATGCCTTGTAGTATATTAGACAGTCAATGACTCCTTTTTTGTTTGTTTGTTTGTTGGTACTAGGGCTTTAACTTAGGGGGGCTTTACTCCTGAGCCACATCTCTAAACCCTTTTACATTTTATTTTGAGCCACAGTCTCACTAGGTTGCTTAGGCTGGCTTTAAACTTGTGATCCTCTTGCCTCAGCCTCCTGAGCAGCTGAGATTATAGGTATGAGCCACCTACCAAACCTGGCTCCATTCTTAACAATAAAGTAAACCATCACAGCCCTACAGCTGTCTGACAGAGAGCAGATGGCTCTCATCTTGGTTCAGGTTGTGCTCAATTCTTTTCCTTGCTCATCTTGTGCTCAAGGTCTTTAAAAGGGGGAAAAATGTCTGATGCCAAATGAGAGCTTTGACAAGTGGGCAAGTTGGGAGAAAGAGGGGAAGGCATTGATGAATTACAGAAATACCAAGTCAGATGCTTTCTGTGACTTCATTCTAAGTGACATGTGTCTGTGTTTCCAGAGCTCAAGATTCCCATCCAGGTGAAGCATGGCATTCCCAGTGACTTCAGGAGTGAGTACACAAAGTTCAATTTTAATAGTCATGTGTTTATAGCAATATGTATGGAATAA